TAGGTCCTTAGAGTGCATTAACAACGTAAAGTTGCTACCTTTATGTATTTGCATGACTCAATTTCCACATCTAAGCTTGAAATGGGACTTTACCCATAAACAAGGGTTCCTTCATGACTCTATTAAGAACTTTATGAACTTAGGGCTCAAAAGAGATTCAGATCTGAAGTTTCAACTTCATATCTAGCTCCCATAGCATAATCCCTTCATGAATAGCTAAAGAAAGCCCTAAACTTCACATATGAAAGATTCTAGAATAAAAGAGGTAAAGGTAACAGCTTGTTACCTCCAAAATGTGCCCAAATTGAAATAGACTCTGGATCCACACGAAAAACCTTGATGCTAGCCTCTTGATCTACAAGTTTCCTTCACAAAAATCCCTTTCTAAAGCTCCAAAACACTCTCCAAGCTCACACTCACATAAATTAGGGTTTCTGGCTCTCAAGGGGTGATAGAGGACAGTGGGAGGCACTAATGGTCCAATATATAGGGTGCAATAACCTTGAAGGAACCCTGACAGTTGGGATGTTACACCTTCATAGGCCATTTGGGTCATGATTATTGACTAAGGAGAATATTGGGTTTTATTATAAGGTCCACTAGAAAGGTCTGGGCCTAATTTGGAAAATTGGGCCATTGATGGTTTATGGATATTATAATGTTGGGCTTTTGTTTTGGGTTTGGGCCTTAATTTTGAATGATATTGGGCTAGGGGTAAAATGGTCATTTTACCCCATGCATGGATTAAGGATTATGGTATGGGACCCAATTGCTAATTGTATATATTGATTGGTAGTGGCAGCTCGGGAGGCTGGCGGGGTAGCAACTAAGGAATTCTTTAGGAAGCTTTTGCATTCGAGGTGAGTCTCCTCACCACACCAATGGGTCTAAGACACCAAGGTCGGCCCATTTTATGTTATGTAGTATGCTAGCCATTATATGTTATGTGTTATGCTAGATGTTTCTGTGATATGTGGTATGCTAGTTGACTCTGTGTTACTTACATAGAAGACCATGTGAGAGCCCATGGCAACTGGATGTTATACCATGTAGAGAGCCCATGACTTTCCAATTAAAGACCATGGGAGATCCCATGACACTTAGGTGTAAGACCATGTGGTTAGCCCATGGCTTCGTGGATTAAGACCCTGGGGACGAGCCCACAACATCCTTATATGTTTATACGTATGGCTTATGTGATTGATATGTGGTATGCGGTAGAGATAGATTTTATAGCTAATATGATATGTGTTGTGTGGATTGTGTGTGGGGTATGCTCTGGGGAACTCACTAAGCTTTGTGCTTACGGTTTACAATTTTGGTTTCAGGTATCATCGATTTGGAAAAGAAGAGCTCAGATTGATCGCAGTGCACACATCTATGATTTCCGTAATGAATGATTTTGGGATAAACTATGATAAATGATTTACTTAACTATGATTGGGAATGTCTAAATTAAATGGTAACAATGTTATAGTTATATTAAAAATAAATTTTTTACCATTGATTTTTGGGTCATTACAAAAACCGTACTTTAAACCTGGGACCCGGATCGGTTCTACATATTCCGGTTCTAACGGTTCCAGTTCGATTCCGGTTTTCCGATTCAAAATCTCATCCCTAAGTAAAATGATCATAAGACGGGGATAACACTTAGATGACAATTTTTCTTCATCAATGGAAAATTGAAGCTCTCATGGTGTTTCCTTGAACATCTAGTATGTACTTCTTCCATAAATCCTCATTTTCATTAACTTGGGTTTGAAATGATGAAGCCAAAAATCCAAAATCCATGATTCTTATAAATTAATTCAATCAAGCCAAATCCAGTTTCAAGCTTTTGAAACTCCTAAATGCATTTGAGATTTATTGTGGTTTAATGACATGTTAATCCAAATTGTGCTTAAGTTTAATGATGGGGATACCGCGAACCATTAAATAAATGGTGAATCAATCAACCATACACAACTACTTGATCCTCAATATAAAATTATTCTTATATTGATGTGTTAGTTAGCCATACAAACTCTATCATTAAAATAATTTTACGAGCGACTCATCATTTTAAATTATATTCTCGTAAATAACGTGACAGTTAACAACATACGCTCCATCATAAGAATATAACTAAAATGTGTGTTTTCATGGGTAGCACAAGACTCAGTTTATATATAAAACGAGAAATTATTCCAATTAACATGGTTGATTTCATAAACAAAAGTTGATATGAAACATTTGAAATAAAGATTAAAATAAAAAAAATTCCAATTTCTGAGTAAACATGGTAAAAACCACGTTATACAGGGACCATTTTTATAATTTACTAGTTATTCTAAGTGTGTTTTATATAAATGTAAGAATGCGGGGGGTATTTTAAGTCTTGTTGAGAAAGACAAGGGGTTGTATTGTTAGAAGAGAAATGAAAACCGATCACGTGTTGGCAAGCATAAGAAAGAATCGACAGGGGCCGCGTTCAACGCTCTCACTTTCTCTCTCTCTTTCGTGTAAGATTAAGTCGTGTCGCCGAAAGGTAAAACCCCACCCAACACCCACAAACTCAGCCCCAGTCGGCGGACCATTTATCATCCTTCTCTCGGGGTTTCGTCTTAATCTCAACAACGTCGGTCAACTCAACATCATTCCAACAAGAATCTAGGGTTTGTTGACTTGTTTGGCGGTGATTGTGGTTGTTGTGTTTGTGATGATGATGATGAACTGACTTCTAATTTGGATCAATTTTGTACCTTTTTGAAATGATGGAGGGTCAAAATTTGGTAGCCGATAGTCAAATTTCCGATAGGGTTCAACCGATTGGCGATGGTTCAAAGGTGGTCGGTGGTATGGCGGATGTTATTGAGGGCGTCTCCGGTGGAGGAGCAAAGGTGGAGTTAGGTAGCGGCGGAGGGGGAAGGGCAGTGTCGAAGAAGAAGCGAGGGCGGCCGCCTAAGGGTATGGTGAAACCGCCTCCTGCTAAGAAGAATAAAGAAGTGGAGGAGGAAGAAGATGTTTGCTTTATTTGCTTCGATGGTGGGAGTCTCGTGCTTTGCGATCGCAGGTTTGGATTGATTTTTTGCGCTTTTCTTGAGGATAATTGTTGCTTTATTATGTGTAATTGATTTGAGGGTGATGGATTTAGCTCAATTGCATGCGATTATCAGTCTCATTTAAGGAAATGAGTTTTATCTGTTGTTGTTGATTTACACGTTTTTGCTTTGTTTGGTGTAGGGGTTGTCCGAAGGCATATCATCCAGCTTGTATCAAACGGGATGAAGCATTTTTCGAGTCTGCAGCTAAATGGAATTGTGGTATGTTCTCTTTGTGATGTTTTTATTGTTCTCTTAATAATTTTCTTAGCTTACTTCATGAAAATGGTGATGTCTTCTATACAAGAAACTATATATGTAACTTACATAAACGAAGAAGTTTGATCAGCTATATTCTTCCCTTATGAAGCTAGGTTTTTGTTCTTAGGAAACTTTAGTAAGAAATGCAGGCCAAGTTTTCAAATTTAGGGATCATGGTGAAACTTAGAGCAGACACTTAGTAACTTTAAGATATTTGAACCCTTGAAACTGAGCACATAAAGATAATGTATGAAAGGTTCAAGGTTTTGTTTCCCTATAAAGAATTACTGATCATGCTTCCAAATTTAGTTTGCATGTGGAAAGACTAGACACTTTATAAGTCGTGCTCATACATTTAGGCTTTTGTAGCCCAAGCAGTTGAAAATAATCATGAAAAGATCTTTGAACTCAGTATGGTAATGATTTGAGTTATTAATTTTTCACTACAGAGCAAAATCTTGTATATACTCCTTTTTTATATTACTGTAGACTTTTAGATTTTGCAATCAATCGTTCAACAAGGGTCACATTTGAGCTTTGCATTTTCCTCCATTTTGTATATTGTTTACCTGGTTTCATTGCATGGTTCTTTGAGTGTTGCAGCCTGTTTTCATATCCCATTTTCATTTTCATTTTCATTTTCTGTGTCAACTTAACTTTACTAGGAATGCAAGCATGAGTTTGTATGTATAGGTCACCCCAAAGTTGGCTGAAAGTTCTGATGTAGAAGTTGCTTATTACTAGTTACAACCTTTGTATTATGGCATATCATTTCATATGTGGCTTTTGACAAACATGGGATAAAATACATGCCCACAATGGTGCAAAGTGGGGGAGGGGGGGGGGAGCATATATATGCAATAAAACACAAAGCATGTATAAAGGCAATAAAGCATGAACTAATCAATAAGACTCAAAGAGAAAAGAGCAAAATCTAATGCATCGAGTATTATAATTAAAGAGTATTATAATTAAAGAATAATAATAATATAAGTGGTCACTTTAAAGGGATGTGGAGAGGCTGCTTAGATAAGTTAATTATTTGGTAATGAAGGTCAAGTGGGAAAGTTAGATGATTCTTTTTTCAACATAATAAAAAACTCTTTATGCAACGATATGCAGGGTTGTATTATATGATTATATCATATGTCCTAATATTATTCCTATTGGAGTTTCCCTAAAGTGGTATCTTAGCATGGCTTTTTTAGGTTATCCAACATCATTTTCTCATAAATTTACAATCTACTAACTAGTTAAATGAAAGGCTTATCTGTTGATATCTTTGTACTGAAATATCCTCCTTTAAAATAACTATGGAAAAAACACAGACAAGTATTATATGATTCAAATAACCTGTAATATGTAATCTCTGTAAAATCTTGCATTGTAAATAATATTATGTATCAAAACCAGATGAGCACTTTAATATTTAACTGATTATTGTTAATTCGTTACTGAATATGGTCTGTTTATTACTCTATCACGTAATTCAAATGGGTAGAGATATTAACTGTAAGTAATACTAGATATCGCTTCCAAATTTTACTAATTATATTATCTACTATTTATATGAATTCCAGGCTGGCATATATGCAGTATATGTGAGAAGACAGCTCATCATATGTGCTACACTTGTACATATTCATTGTGCAGAAGTTGCATTCGGAAATCTGATTATGTTTGTGTTAGAGGTGATAAAGGCTTCTGCACTATTTGCATGAAAACAATCATGTTGATTGAAAATAATGGTCAAGGAGAAGATGGAAAGGTATACAAAATCAAAACCATAATTTTTTATATTTAATAATTTCTCTCTTAGGTTACATAATCAAGATTTTTCTACATCTTTCACATGTTTAGATCATGTCTTTAAATTAAGATTTCCGTGTTTACGCGTCATCCAAAAAAGTGATATGTGAATGTTTTAACTTTATTTATTTCCACTTTACTAGATTAACATTTTTAGTTACAAGTGGAAAACTATGATTTCAACATTAATCACATGTTGCTATTTTCGTGACATTCTTTAAATGTTTACTTTTTCTTTTTTTCTTTTCTCTTACATATTATTATCTGTAAGCTGTTCAGGTTCAAGCAGATTTTGATGATAAACTTAGTTGGGAGTATCTTTTTAAGGTATATTGGGTTTACTTAAAAGGGAAATTATCATTAACTTTAGAAGAACTCACTCAAGCTAAAAACCCATGGAAAATATCCACTACAATTTCTACAACACCTTCACCTCTTCCATCAACCACCATTACACCACCACCCCCATTACTCCCACCACCACCACCACCACCAACTGCAGCAGCAGTAGCACCACCACCACCACCACCAACAACAACAACAACAACACCACCAACAACAACACCACCACCACCACCACCAACAACAACAACATCATTTGATAAACATGAAGAAAACGAATCAAAAAGAAGAAAAATAGAAGATCATATTCATATCAATACAACACCACCCCATAAAGAACCTGTAATTACAGAAAAACCATTGATCAAGAAGGATGAATTAGGGTCAAAAGATTGGGCAACAAAAGAGCTGTTGGATTTTGTTTCACACATGAAAAACGGGAACACATCTGTATTATCCCGAATTGATGTCCAATCACTTTTAATGGAATATATAAAGAGAAATAATCTTCGTGACCCAAAAAAGAAAAACCAAATCATATGCGATTCAAGGCTAAAAAATCTTTTTGGGAAACCAAGAGTTGGACACATTGAAATGTTGACACATTTGGAGTACCATTTTTTCATTGAAGAGGATTTATGTAAGACCACAGTCAACAATTCGGTCAACACCACTGCAGTATTAGATGATCCTGATTGGACCAATGAGAATGTGGTTGTGGTTAAAGAGAAGAAACGTAGGAGAAGAAGTAAAGGGGTAGAAATGGAACGTGGATCACAGAACAAATTGGATGAATTTGGTGCAATTGATGTTCATAATATGAATTTGATATACCTAAGAAGGGATTTAATGGTGAAGCTTCTAGAAGATAGTGGAAGTTTCCATGGGAAGGTGGTGGGGTCCATTGTGAGGATAATAGTATCGGGTAGTGATCAGAAGAATGATATGTACAGGCTTGTGAAAGTTGTAGGTAATGTTTTTATTTCAGTTTTTTGGATTGTTTAAGGTTTTTATTTTATTTGCTAAAAGTTTATAATGTGGTTTTTAGGTACAAGTAAGGCGGATGTAATGTATAAGATTGATGGAAAGTTAACAGATTTTATGCTTGAAGTATTGAATTTAGACAAGAAGGAGACTATATCTATTGATACAATTTCAGATCAAGAATTTTCTGAGGTAATTAATTAGGGTTTTTAGAAAGTAGAAACTACTACATGTATTTTTATTTATTTCCCTTAAAACTAAATTATAAAATTCAGCCATTTTCGCCTATTAGTAAACCTCTGATTGCTTAAAAGGACATGTGTATTATTGTCAAGTAGTATGTCTTTTATGTTCATCTGTGTTATTATGATATAATATAATTCAATAATTGGGATTCTTAATTTTCCCTTAATGGAAACTGTTATACCTTTTTATAGTCATATAAGCTTCTGCAATTATAAACTCATTGTAGGTGTACTGTTGTTGCTGCATTGAATTTAGAGTAAATTACAATTTGGTCCCTGAATATAGCTGAAATTTTCAATTTTGGTCCCAAAATTTGTTCTTACAGTTTTGGTCCCAAAATAGTCATTTTACTTAAAATCGACTTTTTTGCGACCAAAATTGTAAAGTTCAGCTATACTCAGGAACCAAAAATGTAATTTACTTTAGAATTTATTTATCTGCTATTTTTAAACTAATATTAATATTTCATGCTATTTTTAGGAAGAATGTAGACGCCTGCAACAAAGTATAAGATGTGGGCTTGTAAAACACTTTACTGTAGTAAGTCTCCTTATCTATCACATCTTTATATTTATTGCTCCTTTTTTCTATGTGCTTTTCTAATATCAATTTTATTTATTGATTTTTTTTTGTGCTTCAGGGTGAAATACAAGAAAAGGCAATCGCCCTACAGTCAGTCAGACTAGATGATGTGAGTTATTTGGCTTTATGATTTCATAGCACATGAACATGAGCTTTTCATAAATCACTTAAATTTATCTTTCCAGTGAATTACAAATATGGTCCTCGTGCTTTCTGATTATTTCCATGTTTAACAAAAATTGAAACTTTTTTAACTTTTGGTCCTCTTTTCAAGGTTTCATATTGATTTTACTCTCTGGAACCTTGAAATAAGGACCAAAAGTAGAAAATGTTTCCATTAAGGACTAAACACGGTAAAAATAAAAAAACACAGGGACTATTCTTGTAATTTAGTTTTGTTTTTCTTATTTGACGTTTCGTAACTACGAGCTTAATTGGTTAAAGCATTTAATCTGGACAACTATACATAGTTGTTTCTTTTTTTAATCCCTTGATAAAATATTAATAAATATTTTGCTTAAATTAATTATTTTCCTCTTTTTTTAATGCAATTCAGTGGATGGAAAAGGAGATATTGCGGCTCAATCATCTTCGTGATGTAGCAAATGAAAAAGGGCATAGGAAGGGATATCCTTTGGCAACATTATTTTTTTTTATATTTTCATTTTCTTTCATAATCAATAACTTTAAAATTAAAATAATTTTTAAATTTTGTATTTTCTTGACCAATTCCCACATATAGAGAATGTGTAGAAAAACTCCAACTTCTAAAGACTCTAGATGAACGAGAACACAGACTACAAGAAATCCCAGAAGTCCATTCAGATCCAAAAATGAATCCAGATTATGAATCAGATGACACTGAAGAGTATTTCAACAAAGAACATGGTAATCTTCACTTATATATATTTTAGAGTCAATTACAATTTTGGTCCCCCGAGTTTAGCTGACTTTTAGAAAATTACAAAATTGCTCCTTGTGGTATACTGGTTTTACAGTTTTGGACCAAAATTGCAATCCAATTCCTTTAGGGACCAAAATTGTAAATTACGATTTATTATAATATTTATACCGAGTGTTGTGATTAAACTTTATAGGAGATGATATGGAGTCAAAGTATTGTGGGGTGAAGAGTTCAAGATCTCCTAAAAAAAGAGCAGGAAGTTCCAATGATGCAAATGGGCGAACAAAGAAAAACGAGCAATTAAAAAACTTAAATGTTTCAAATGATGAAGAGGGAGGAAATACAAAAGAAGGAAATACCAAAGATACCCCTGGCCTTGGTAAAACAGAACATGAGATTGAGTGTAATGGTTCAACCATCACTAAATTAAGCTCATCAGTATCCAATAGTGTTCAAGAAACAACAACAATACCTTCTTCATCTGTTCCCATTAAGAACAATGCATTTTGTCTTAATGAGACATTGTGGCATTACCTCGATCCAAATGGAAAAGTCCAAGGCCCGTTTTCTATAATCCAGCTTCAAAAATGGAGTACAACCGGTTACTTTCCTGTTGACATGAGGGTGTGGGCAAATCACGAGGATAAATCCGTCCTTTTGAATGATTTGTTAAAAGAACAGTTTGAAAACCATGATCATGAGAATGGGAATGGGAATGAGATTCCTGGGGATAAAGATTGTAATCAAACCGTGGCTAGTGAGATTCCGACTCCAATTCCGATTCCGGTTCCGTCTCCGTCGTCTGATGTTTCCGTGATTCCTTCTTCTGCTCCGGTTTCTGTCAATCATGAGAAGTTTTCTGATGGGTCGTCTGGCCATGGCCAGAATTGGAATGGGAATAATAACTTGAAGTTTAACATGATGGGTGTTGTGTCTTTGACCATGTCTAATGAGTCAACCGGAAACCTCAATTCCGGTGATGCGCCGAGGGAAACGGAAACGGAAACGGAACAAGTTCCTACGGACTCTAAAGATCCGGAAACGGCTGTATTTGAAGTGCCTGATCCGATTCCAGAGGAGGTGATTGATGAAGAGAAAAAGATAGAATCGGCACCGGAATCAAAGATTCCGATTCCGGATTCAGGAAATCCGCCGAGCTGGAGTAGTGCTTCGAGTCTGGTAGTCGGTGGAGCAAAACTTGCGGCGGAAACCGATGGGTGGGGGGTCAAACGGGAGGAATGGGAATCGATGAAGCCGGTGGAGGTGGCGGGAGATCATGTTGCTACTCCGACTTCCAACATTGACCAAAACATTGATCAAAATATTGACCAAAATGCCCATCCGTCACAGCCAGGTAATGATCTGCCAGCGTGGCATGGAATGGCGGAAATGATTGAATTCAGCACTTTAGCGGAGGAATCCGTTTCCGATCTTTTGGCGGAAGTTGATGCGATGGAATCACAATACGGATTACCATCACCTACTTCTAGAAGGAATAGTTTTGTTGATGATTTATTTAACGGGTCATTTGACGAATTTAGCCCTACCCCTGATCAAGGTACAAGAAGTGATGGGTTTAGTTCTAGTGGAGATATTCAATTACCATGTCATTCCACCACCCCAGATGAACATCAACATCAACATCAACATCAACATCTAGTCGGATTTGATTTCATGAAAATGGTACAAAATCCCTTTATTGCCCCTCAGAGAAGTAGTAATCCAGGGAATATGGGTTTTAAGTGGCCGGAATCAGAGGGAGGAATGATTGACATAAACAGATCGGCTAAAGCTGAAGGCGATGACGTGGACATCGAAACAAAAATCAACGTGGGAAACGGGAATTACATTCCGTCCGTTGCCCCGGTTCACTCCGGAATCAGCTATGGCGGCGGCATTGCACACCAGTCGGAATTCAAATCCGGCGAGCTTATGCAAGCACCAAAGACGGGTGGTGCAAGAATGGTGACAAAAGCTTTTCCAGTGAGAGAGGAGGAGGAAGGCGAGTTTATCCAGCCGGAAGCACCACAGCCGCCACTTCTGCCGCCACCGTTGACTTTAGGGTTGGACCCGTTTGACCCACGAGAGCTGGATTCAGATAAATATAGTCATTCAGGAAGACAAGGGAATCGGAGCGGGAACATAGAATGGGAACAGAGCCAGAACCAGCGGAGATACGGCGGTGGTGCTGGCGGCAGTGGTGGTGGAGAGAGATATAACAGTAGTGGTAGGGATCATCATGATGAGGATACAGGGTATAGCAGGAGCAGTAGGAGTTCATGGAACAAGCAGTCTATATTGGGTAGTGGTGGTGGTAGCGGTGGTGGTGGCGGAGGCAGTGGGGGTGGTGGTGGTGGGTATTCGAGGCCGCAATCGAAAGGGCAGAGAGTATGTAGATTTTATGAGAGTGGGAGGTGTAAGAAGGGGGCTTCATGCAAGTATCTGCACCCATGAGGGTGGGTGGTTTGACTGGTTTCCGGCGGGTTGTTTGACCTTTTTTTTGTAAAATCAATTATATTATATTATATATTATTATATATATAAGGCGTGTTAATGTCAGGTGGGATATGTGTAGTTTTAACGTAACTGGCCTCTTGATTAAACTAAGTCCTTGGGTGGATCATAATGATCTCAAATTCTCATACAATTGTCTTTTGTTTTCATCGATTCAATTGAATTTATCAAGCAAATCACCAAGTTTTATATTTACTTTAGCGATTAATAATATTATATTAAAATGGTTTGGTTATTTGATTGTATTTCTCTTGCTGTCTTTTTGATCAAGAAACCTTGAGGAAAAACTGTTACTGAATTGCCATTGAATAAATTGTTACAATTTTGTTATGAAATGCTGAAGCCTATAAAGGAATCTAGAAGAAATTTTTAGTAGAAAGATAGAAACAAGAATGAACTACGACTAATTTGTCGAGTATTTATTGAAGGTGTAAAAAAGATGAGAATACGTAGAAGACAAACAGAAAATAAAGAAAATATTTATAGTATTTTATGTTCCAGTTAGGGTGAAAATATAACATTCTCAGAATATTTAAATTAAGGGTTAATATAATAAAATAACAACCAATAGTAGCATTAAATTTGATGTTTAGTTCATTCATATTTTCATTGCACTCAATAAACTAATAGACAATTTTTTGGGCACCAACCGGTATAGTGATAATAAATTATGTTTAGTATCCACCGTTACATCGAATATGATTGATATAATATGTTCACTTGTATCTATATGAAGCTGATCCACATCCAATATGATTGATACAATATGTTTACTTGTATCTATATGAAGTTGACATAACTGATATAATATGTTCACTTGTATCTATATGAAGCTGATCCACTGTGACATTCAATATGACAAATCCAAAGCCAATCATCAGTTCCCAAATTTTGAGACGAATGAAATCTGATACTTAAATTAGATAATAAAAGAAGAGAACAAACTTTTATTGTGTCACTTAAGGTTTATTGACATACTAAATAATACAAGATGACCAATCTAATGACAAAATGTTACTTGTAATTTTCATTAACCTTTAAATAAATGACTCTAAATTATAATTTTCTTTATCAAGTTTTTATGCGAGCATAATATCCATATATTTCTTTCATAGCATTCATTAAAGGAAAACTTTTTAATTAAGGTGGTTGTTTTTTTGGCAACAAATCTTTTTTTGACCTTTTATAGACATTTTATTGTTTTTCAGAAAACAAAAGATATAAAAAACTTATTTTGACATTAGACGTGTTATAAGTTATAACTTTAATGATATTTCTTTTTCTACCACCACTGCTGTTGCCACCGAGTTAATTTTTTTTTTTTAATGAAGACTTAAAAAACAAATAATCTTTTTTCTGAAGACTAAAAACATAGAAAATGATTTTTAATCCATATTTTATTCCGTAGACATAGAAAAAGACCAAAAACATTTTATATTATGAAATTTCGTAAGCAAAACAAAAAGTTTTAGATGCCTTATAGTAATTTTTTTTTCATAAACGAGTTCCATAAATAATTATTTATCTATAATTAATAATATAACAAAAATAAAATAAAATTCAAATTGTGAAAAGCCTCTATATAAACTTGTAACTTTTCAAATGCAATATTTTAATCACAAAGAATTATTATATTTTGACATAAAAGTAGTTACTTCATTTCATTTCTATTTGAGGGAATCGTAGGGAACTGAAACACATGCAGAGGTGGTAGTTATTTGGAGTTGCCGTGACAATGTCGTCAACGTTAATGCAGACGAAGAAACGTGCTGCCGGAGCACTGTTTGCCCTCGCCCTAAACCATGTCCAGATCCACCAGACTCGTCCTTTGGCCAATGCAATCGCCGCCGATTCCTTCTCCAATGAGCGTCGCCTTTGGGTCCACGAGTCCTCCGGTCTCCTCCGCCCTATTTTCAGGTTTTCCTCTTCTCAATTAATTAACCCTACCTACCTAACTCTCTCTATTTGTACATGAAACGCTTGAATCCAATCATCCACTTTCAATTTCCTCTTCTTATCCTAATCGCTAAATGCTTGGAGATGATAGATTCCGCAAAATTAATGGAATACATGACTGTAATATTGAGAATTTAACTTGTCCCAATTCTATAAGATTGTTCCGAAATTCGACCTCATTCCCCTGTAGATTTGCCCTAATTTTCTCTCTCACGTTAACGCTCACAACAAAAGTGTTTCACTAATCGTAATCAATTTTGGAGATTGAAAGTGCAATGCAAGTTAATGATAATGATCTGTTTCATATGTACTCCATCTTTGTCAAGAACAGGTTCCTAGAAATTGAAAGTGCAGCTTGGCCTGATCTGGAGACAACTGCTATCTCTTCTAATGTCAGGCGTAATGTTGGATCAGTATGTAACTTCATATTTTTATACTTGAATGAAATTATACTTCATAATCAACAGTATTAATTGATAAATTTTCAGTTTTTACGAGTACTTGCGGAAGAAAATGATGGAAGTGCTTCTAAGGAAGTGTCAGAACAAGAACTTGCATTATCCAAAGCTGTAGATGCGATGGTATCAAATATAGAAACATCTCCAGAACATTTTGAGCATAAAAAAGAAAAGCATAGGTTATACGCGCATGAATGGCGTGAAAAATTTTCAGTTAATGAATCAATGGCTGAAACAAAGGAGCACCTTCAAAAGAAGGAAGAGAAGGATTGTAAGTCACCAAGGTCTGAACAAGTGCCTGCTGCGTCCAATAGTGAAGTGCAAGAAAAAAGGTTTGAAGAGGTGGGATTGATTGGGAATCAAAGGAAAGTTGCGGTTTTATATGAGCTTCTTTCAGCTTGTTTGGCTGATACACCTGAAGATGATAAAACAACTGAAAGACCTCCAAAAGGGTATGATGCTCGTCATCGTGCTGCTTTGAGGTTGCTCACAACGTGGTTTGAACTCAAGTGGATTAAAATGGTTCGTGTTTTTGTATCCCCAAATCAATATGGTTTCACTTTCATTTTATACATTCCTTAAATCCATCAAATACTTTACCTGTTTGTGCTTTAAGTATAATATTTACATTCTTGCTTATGTCCTCTATTTACTTTTAGCTTTATTGCTTGTTTCTGCTTTCTGTTTTATTGTCCTCTATTTTCTTTCAGCTTTAACGTTAATATCTTCGTTTTTTCTTTAATGTCCCTTTATTACTTTCAACTTTAGTGATAGGATCTTATTTTGCTTTATTCTAGCCTCTTTACTTTAAGCTTTACTGCTAGTATCTGCGTTCTGCTTTATTGTCACCTGTTTTCTTTTAGCTTTATTGCTAGTATCTACTTTCTACTTTATTGTCCTTGATTTCCTAACAACTTTAATGTTAATATTTTCTTTCTTTTTAAGGTCCCTTTATTACTTTCAATTTTAGTACTAGGATCTTCTATTGCTTTATTCTATCCCCTTTACTTTAAGCTTTATTGTTAGATTCTGCTTAATGTCTCTTATTTTCTTTCAGCTTTAATGCTAATATTTGTTTTCTTTTTTAAGCCCCTTTATTACTTTCAATGTTGGTGCTAGGATCTTCTTTTGCTTTATTCTATCCTTTTTACTTTAAACTTCATTGTTACTATCAGCTTTCTACTTTATTGTCCCGTATTTTCTTTCAGTTTTAACGCTAATATCTTCTTTTTTTCTTTAATGTCCCTTCATTACTTTCAACTTTAGTAATAGGATCTTCTTTTGCTTTATTCTAGCCTCTTTACTTTAAGCTTTACTGCTAGTATCTACTTTCTGCTTTATTGTACCCTATTTTCTTTTAGCTTTACTGTTAGTATCTGCTTTCTACTTTATTGTCCTCAATTTTGTTTTAGGTTTAATGTTAATATTTGCTTTCTTATTTAAGTCCTTTTATTACTTTCAATTTTAGTGCTAGGATCTTCTTTTGCTTTATTCTATCCTTTTCACTTTAAGCTTTATTGTTAGTATCAACTTTTTGCTTTATTGTCCCCTATTTTCTTTCGACTTTAATGCTAATATTTGCTTTCTTGTTTTAGGTCCCTTTATTACTTTCAACTTTAGTGTTAGGATCTTCTTTTGCTTTATTCTAGCCTCTTTACTTTAAACTTTACTGCTAGTATCTGCTTTATTACTGTTAGGATCTTCTTTTGCTTTATTCTTCTTTTGCTAGTATCTGCTTTCTGCTTAATTGTACCCTATTTTCTTTTAGCTTTACTGCGAGTATCTGCTTTCTGCTTTATTGTCCCTTATCAACTTTAATGCTAATATTTGCTTTCTTCTTTATTGCCCCTTTATTACTTTCAACTTTAGTGCTAGGATATTCTTTTGCTTTAATTTAGCTTCTTTACTTTAAGCTTTAGTGCTAGCATCTACTTTCTTCTAATTTGTCTTGTGTTTACTTTCAACTTTAGTGTTAGTATCTGTTTTATGCTTACACCATTGGGCCCTCACTCTTCAACTTGTGCATGTGCATATGCATAGTTTCACTTTCGCTTCACTTTACACCTTCCATAAATCCATCAATACTTTACCTGTATGTGCTTTGCATATAGTATTTACATTCTTACTCATGTCCCCTCTTTACTTTCAACTTTAGTGCTAGTATCTGCTTTATGCTTACACCTTGGGTGGAGATAGGATTAACCCCCTTACCCAATTCTTATGGGATTCAGGGTTTTGTTGCTTTGTTAAATCACATTCTTACCACTTTAGCAGCCGTTCATATATCAAATAAATAGTTTTATTTTTTTATTTTTTTGACATTGGTTTTGCACTAAAACATCTTGAAGTCTAATATAATAATATATCAGAGGATATTGTCTTCTCTATTGATGTCCTTGTTTTCATCATTGCATATTGTATCAGTTTACCAAAGGGAGATCTCCTTTTTGTAGGAAGCAATTGAGGTGGTTATTTCATGTTCAGCAATGGCTGTTTTGAAACAAGATGATGGAGTCGAAAATGTACAAACTTCAGATGACTCATGGGAGAAGTGGAAACGTGGAGGTCTCATTGGAGCAGCTGCTGTAACTGGTGGAACCCTAATGGCAATCACTGGTGGTATGATATGATCATCTCATTTTCTCAAAAAACCTTACACATTTTATTCATCTTATTTTATAAATTCCATACACTATCTTGTTACATTTTCATCAGGTTTAGCTGCTCCAGCAATTGCATCAGGAGTTGGTGCTTTAGCACCTACATTAGGCACCATTGTGCCAGTGATTGGAGCTGGTGGATTTGCTGCTGTTGCAAGTGCTGCAGGAAGTGTTGCAGGTTCTGTTGCAGTAGCTGCATCATTTGGAGGTTAGTTATGTACAAAGGAATAGGTGTTATCTGCTAATATGAAAGAATTTGTAAATTGTAACTAAATATTAATGATATTATTCTAATGGGATTAGTTAATGTTATTAAACAAGGAATAATTAATATTTGAATTGATCCAGCTGCTGGGGCTGGACTTTCGGGGACTAAAATGGCTAGAAGGACAGGAAGTGTGGATGAATTTGAGTTCAAAGGCATAGGGGAAAACCACAACCAAGGCGTAAGTTTCTTTAAGCCTTTTTCTTTTTCTAGTTTTTTGATGAAAGATTTCTCATTAAACCTTGTGTTCCCAGAGGTTGTCTGTTGGGATCATGGTGTCAGGATTTGTATTTGAGGAACAAGATTTTTTAAGGCCTTGGGAAGGACAAAATGATAACTTGGAAAGGTATTTAAATGTATATATTTAAGATACCGCTATAACTGTTGGGAAAACGGTCTCAGATATTCCCTCACAATTAATTAATACACGTGGAAAACTCCAAAGTTCGGACTTCCGAGAAAGGAAAATCCACTATATGATAAATTGTTACAATCACATAGAATACAAAGATTCCCGTATAACTTTTCGGAAAATGGTCTCAAAGATTCCGAACAAGCCTCCCTAGAAATTAATATACGTGGAAAACTCCAAAGGTCGGAGAGAGAAAAATATACTATATGATAAATTGTTGCAATCACATAGAATACAAAGATTCCCCTATAATTATCGGGAAAATGGTTTCAAAGATTCCCAACAAGCCTCCCAATAGATTAATATACGAGGAAAACTCCAAAGGTCGGAGAGAGAAAATACACTATATGATAAATTGTTACAATCACATAGAATACAAGCGTCTCTGCCTTGCTTTGTTTTTGCTAGAAAAACAAATCTAGTTTTTCTACAATAAACTTAAATCTGCAAAACCAGATGATAGTTTTAAGTCAAAATTTCAGGTATGCGTTACAGTGGGAATCCGAGCATCTGATTGCTGTAAGCACTGCAATCCAGGATTGGCTTACATCAAGTAATAATCGCTTTAACCCCAAAAAATACATAAAAATCATTAAAAAAAAAAGTTGAACAATACTCTTATTGTAATTAAATCCATGATGCAGGAATTGCAATGGAATTAATGAAACAAGGTGCTATGATGACAGTTTTAAGCTCTCTTTTAGCCGCTTTAGCCTTGCCTGCAACTTTACTCACTCTAACTGACATCATCGATAGCAAATGGTCCATTGCTGTGGACAGGTTTTTCATTCTTTCCTTTTTTTATTTTTTTCATTTTTAAAATCAAACTCCACATGTTATATAATTCAAAATCCCACCAAAGTTGGACTTCTTTCAACTATACATATAAACAGAAATAGTCCCTTGAGAATTGCCATATTGAATTTTGGTACTCCCTCACCCTCAGATCTGACAAGGCTGGAAAGCTTCTTGCTGAAGTGTTGGTCAACGGATTGCAAGGTAACAGGTACATTAACATCAGATTATTTCATATTTTCATGAACTAAAAAAGTTTAAGTAAAACGTATAAAAATCATAAATTATTCTATAATTATAACTTTCAGGCCTGTAACACTAGTGGGATTTTCACTTGGAGCACGTGCGATTTTTAAGTGTCTTCAGAGTTTGGCTGAAACGGGTCATGGTAATTACATAAACCTGATTTTGATTTTTGATTTTTGATTTTTTTACTTTACTCCTTTTATAGTATGTTGAGTAATTTACATTTTTGGTCCACGTGTTTAGCTGTTATCCGATTTTGGTCCCAAAAAGTTTTTACTTGCAATTTTAGGTCTTCATTTGAGGTTTTTGTGACATTTTACTTGTTCCAAGTAAAATGACTACTTTTGGTCCTTGAGTAAACCTGATTTTTGAAATTTTGGTCCAAAAAATATAGTCATTTTCCTTGGAATGAGGACCAAAAATGTTACAAAACCTCAAATATAGACCAAAATGGAAAAAAATGGTAATACCCAGGGACCAAAAATGTAATTGAATCTATTAACTTTAATCTTCATTATTCCCCTAACTTTTTTTAAGAATATTTTATGTCCTAATTACTATTCACCGCACTATATTAACTTAATTTATCAAAAATACATAACAAAATATGAAATAAATGACCAATATGAAATATTACTGACATTAATTATATTTTTAACTTAATTCTTATTTTATTGTAATTGAAAATTTAGTCCAAATAATTTTTTTTATAATTAAATATAAATAGCACAGGTAATCTAATTTTTAAAAAGGAAACGAACAAGAAGAATAAATTATATAAGCTGCAGAGATTCATATATCTGATATAATTTTCAGTTGGACTTGTGGAAAGAGTTGTTCTACTTGGAGCACCAGTTGCTATTAAAGATGAAAATTGGGAAGCTATTAGGAAGGTGAATTCAATCATCTTTTCTTATAGCTTAAAAAGTCTCTTATAATAATCTTAAAAATAAAAAAACTATATGTTTTGCAAGGTTGTTTCTGGGAGATTAGTAAATGCTTATTCAACCACTGACTGGATGCTTGGAGTAGCTTTTCGTGCCAGGTATGCATTATATGCATCCTGTTTATGTTGTATTTTGTTAGACTTATTTTTGCAATTTCAACATGTTAATGATTTGGAAAATTCAAAATTGAAATACACCCACTTAATATTAAAAAGATTGAAGAACAAAATCAGTTGATCATATATATATATATATATAGTATATATACCTGATATGATTAATTCAATGATGGAGAAGAGTGATCGATCATGGAGCGAAAGGCTTAATTCAATATTATAGAGAGATAAGTTTTTCCATTGTAGCACCCCCATTTAGAAGAAAAGAAATCAATAAAAAGCTAAGCTATGGTAAATCTAAATCCCTTTTTATGATAATTAGTAAATATAACAAAAAGTGTCTGGCACCATCTATTTTAGGATATGGTGCATGTGCCCACACATCAAGCTGATAAGATCAGATGTAAAAGTTCACTAAAAGCCATTTGCATCAAATCACATGTATCTAATAATTTAGCCAAATTACTTATTCTTTCTGTATATTCATAAGTGTAATAAAAATTTATTAAATATGACAAAAGTCACAATCTTAAGTGTGTAGGAAGATGGTAGGAGAAAAAAAGTAGGTTGATATTTGATTTCTCAATAATTTACACACTTTTGAACAATATTTTGTATTATTGGTCTATTTATATATCTCCAAGTGTTGACCATGTTGATTAAACAGTCTTCTTAGTCAAGGATTAGCTGGAATTCAACCGGTGGATGTTCCTGGAATAGAGAACGTAATTTTTTTTTTTTTTTTTTTTTTTTTTTACAAGATTTAATTGATAAAAACAACGATTTGTGAATTTGTGGCTACAGGTTGATGTTACAGAAGTGATAGAGGGCCATTCTTCTTATTTGTGGGGCACTCGAGAGATACTAGATCGCCTTGATCTTGATGGATATTATCCTGTTTTTAAAGTTGCTCATAAGCATCAAAAAGCAAAGTAATCTTTCTAACTTTCTTCGAGTAAATATAAAACCGATACTATTTTTAGGAGTCTTATGTTATGTAATATCGAATGTTTTATTTATTAAAATGATTTTATTTAGATATTTAAGTCATGAAGTCAATAGTTGGGTGGTTTTAAGCAAAATCAAAATGAATGCTTTCTAGACTCTAAGGTGCTATTTGTTTTTTCGAAGCGAAAATGCCTGATGTCTGCAGACCACTTCTGCAACCCTTTAGACCAGAAGAGGTGGACCAAACAGCTACAACATATAATAAAAAGTCTGTCTACAAACTGCTTAAATAATTTCAAGTAAGGTGTGAAGAAGTTTGAAGCAGATGGTTTAGTGTTGCGCCACGCAACACACATGTATCAGTTTTTAAATTAGAAATCTTTTATAAAACAAATAACTGCAAATGACCAAGTGCTGCGTGACACAACAATAAGTTGTTAGAAGTGATTTTTTTAAGAAAAACAAACAACACCTGAGTATTCATAATGAAAGACCGCTCGCTTGTTCTTCTAAAATATGTATACAGGCCATAGGTTTTTTTTTTTTTTTTTTTTTTTTTTTTTTTTTTAAATTATATAAATAAAATAATTTTTTTTAAATTATATAAATAAAATAAACTAAAATGAAATAATCATCTGTCGTCAATCATATCTAGGGGTGTTGACTAGGTAATTTTTTTAGGTTTCGGGTAATTCGGGTTTTTCATGTTAGAAAAAAAATACCCATTACCCGACCCAAATTAAATTTGGGTAGTGGGTCGGGTTTGGGTAATTTGGATGTTACCCGAAATATATAACTTTTTTTCATGACACCAGAAAATAAATTTAATGAAATAAATATATCATGCTCCTTTAGTCTTGTTTATATAACCAAATGAGACATAAACAAAATTACTTAAATTTTGAACATTGAGATCTTTTGTTCAATAATACTTAAGATATCAAATAATCTTTTAACAATTTAATCTAATATAATAAGATGTTAAAAAAACAAATACTTAAAGATCTTATTTTAAAAGTTTAATATGTTTAAGATAATTGTAGCCATAAGTTTTGCCATGTTTTGAAGTTTCATCAAGATAATAAGTTTGTTAGTTGCAATAAAAATTATAATCTAGAAAACAGTTAAGTTTTAAAGAACATGATGACATGTAAATAATTGTTTTTAATATTGTTGGTGTCATACTGCCATAATAAAAGAGATTCATGTTTTACAATAATGATAGTTAGTTTAAGCATGATCAAATACCTGTTACAAAGTACGAACTCTACGAAAAAAAAGGAAATTTTAAAATAACGGTATACCCGAAACCCAACAAACGTACCCTATATCCGACCTGAAAAAAATCGGGTTACCCGAATACCCGAAAAAATTAACTCGATACCCGATTAACCCGATACCAAAAAGAAACCGGGATGGTAATTCGGGTATCGGATATTTTCGATAGGGCTAATCATACTAGAGTCCTTACCACCACCATTATTGTCCACACCGCTATTATCATCTACGAAAACCATTATGTTCCCAAATTAATAACAATCTTGTTCACATTCAAAATAAAATCAACTAAGAACAAGAAACAATTAAAAAAACACAAACAAAAAAATGAGATAGAAAAAACAAACAAAATAAAAACCAACTCGGAGAAAAAAAATTGGAAAAAAACTATTTATTATTATTATTATTATTATTATTATTATTTAGAAAAAGATATAAACTTTAAAAGCAGGATTAGAAATGTCTTCCAATTTTATAAGGACAAAATTGCAAAAATGGTCCCTGTGGTATGCAATTTTTTCGGATTTTAGTCTAAACCCTGAGTTTTTTGGATTTATGGTCCTTTTGGAGTGGTTTGTATGTGGAATTGGTCCCTAAACTTAACTCCTGTTAAAAAGCATTTGTTAACCCCCTTATGTGCATCACACGTGAGGGTAAATCTGTCATTTCATATGTAAAGGACCATTTTTGCATAAACCATTTTTAGCTTATTTAACCTTTACCCCTCATTTACTTCCCCCAACACCTGTCAACTCCCCAACTCCCTCCTTCTTGCTTCTGCTCCATTGAACCTGCAAAAAACCCTCGTTGCTTATCCAAACAAGTTAATCAACGCAACATATACAAGGCCATACATTTAATAGAAAATGGTGTTCGTAATGTGGCATATCAGACCAAAACATGGAGTTGTTGATGTATCAGTCGTATATGGTAAGTTGCTCTGTTTTCTTTAACTTTCATATTTTGCATTTTCTTATTGATTTAGAACGAAAAAGGAAAATTTTTGACTTTGTTAATATGTTCAATTTTGATTTTTAGCTGGTGCACCCACATGGTTTAGTATTAAGCTTCATCACAGTGGGAAATTTACTAAGTTACCTGATATAAAGTACATTGGAGGTGAAATGTGTTATGTTAATTATGTGGACATAGATGAGTTTTCTGTACATGAACTTGATGCCATAATACTTGACCTAGGTTACCCAGACCCACGAAATTCTGAATTCACTAATGAATCCCCAGTGATATAGTACCATTTTAGGATCCCAAATGACGGCTTTCAATTTGGTCTTAAAGATTTAGGGAATGATCAAGATGTGATCAACCTTTCTAACTACATTGCACATAACAACCTGATTGAGGCGTAAATAGAGCATGATAAGACAAATTTACTGACTTACTTCATGTCTCCAAATGCAAAGGGTAAATTTGTAATTGAGGAATTACCAGAAAATGATAATCAAGGGGCTGAAGTTGAAGGTCAAATTCATGTAGAATCTCCATCGAAAAATATGAACTATGGTAATGATGAGCCTATTGGTGAGTACATGTCTCTCATTCTTTTTGGCAGTAAGAATGATACTTTCTCACCAGAGTATACAAGGGGTAGAGTCGGGAATTCCAAAAGAGGTGAAGGTTCTTGTAGTAAGAGGCTTAATTTAGAAGAAATTATGAGGATGTTCACATATCAAATGAAAAGAATGATGATCAATATGGTTCAACTGATGTTCAGGAGGCAACAACTTCTGTTCATATTGATGAGATGGATGGTGTTAGGGAGGTTGCAAATGGTGTTGAAGAGGCATCAAATGTTGTTGAAGGATGCTACAATACCCCATGTTAATAATGATGATCAACAATTGAATGAGCTATTTGATAACCTTATGAAAAATTTGATTGGAAGTGATGAGGATGATGCAGAGTATGAAGGGGATGGAGAACCAAAGAAGGTAATCCAAAGTATGAAGAGGATGATGAATATGAAGAAAGTGATCCACAATATGAAGAGGATGATGAATCTCAAGAAGTGGATGACATAATGGATGTGGACAACAATATTGAAGATGTGGATGTGGACATGGGAGACTTCACTCTCAATGTTGAAAGTGATGTGGAAGGATCATGTATAAATGGTGTTGATAGGCATGAACCTGAAGATATGGAAGTTATCAACAATGAGGAATTCAAATCTTTGGATGAAGGATCTGACAAAGACAGAGAAAGAAGAGCTCTTATCAATAATTTGGGAAAAGAAAAAAGGTGCAACCTTGGGGGAGTACATAAACAATCATTTTTAGTTGGAGATAAATTTAAAAGTAAAAAAGAATTAAAGGAGGTAATTGATCTGCATGCATTAGAATCAAGAAGGAATATTTTCTTAGAAAAATGGCAATATAAGGCTTAGGGCACAATGTAGAGGATTTGTACCTATCACCAATAAAGGCCAAGTGGGTAGCCAAGTTACCACTTAAAAAAGAAGGGTAAAGAATTAAAGACACAAAAAGTAACATCTGGTTGGTATATCCATGCATCTAGGTCAAATCCTGAATCTGACTGGTTGATAAGGACATTAAATCAAACTCACACATATTTGCAAACAAGGAAACTCAGGGCTTGTATTGCCTCTAATCAGTAAGAAAATCCTTGATCAAGTTGAGGCAAATCCAGATATACCTTTGAGAGCCATACATGATCACTTTCAAAAGACTTACCAGGTGGGTATTTTGATGGACAGGGTGTTTAGGGCAAATGATAAGGCAAGAAAGCATGTCACCAGGGACTACACAACACAATATGAACTGTTGAGGGACTATATTCTCGAACTTCAAGATACCTACCCAGACACCACAGTTAAAATAGATGTATGTTCTGAGCCTAACCCTGATTCCCCAACCAAGCATTTTAGAAGAATTTATGTGTGTTTGGGTCCACTGAAAAAAGGTTTCAAGGCATGCCTTAGGGACTTATTAGGTTTTGATGGTGCCTTCATGAAAGGACCATTCCCTGGGCAGGTCCTTTCAGCAGTTGGTCTTGATTCTAATAATGGAATTTATCCATTAGCATATGGGATTGTTGAGTCTGAAAACACAGAAAGCGGGAAGTGATTTTTAGAAAACCTTGGGGATGACTTGGACATTGGAAGAAACTCAAATTTTACTTTCATAGGTGACAAGCAAAAGGTAAAGCAAATTTATACATTTAGTCATTTAAGATGTGTGGTTTTTAGTTAATTCTAATTATTGTCAATTGATTCACGCAGGATTTACATAGTGCAGTTGATCAGTTGTTTCCCAATGCTGAGCATAGATATTGTATCAGACATATTCATGACAATATGAGGAAGGGGTGGATACAAACAGAGTATAGAGACCACTTATGGAGGTGTGCACCAACTACCACTATTCCCGAGTTTGAACATTTGATGAAGGAGGTTAGTCAGTATGATAAGGAGGAATGTGAATGGTTGAAGCAAATTCCTCATGCACATTGGGCAAGGAGTAATTTTTCAGGTAATTCTATATATTCCAATTTGGTCCTTATGTCTTTCACTTAGTTAACTGTTATACTTGTATGTTAATTGTATTAACTATTTTTTAATGGTAATGTACAAACATGAAGAGCAGTTTCTGATGTGTTGATATCAAACATGTGTGAAGTGTTTAATGGGAGGATAGATAAAGGAAGGGATAAACCTGTCATTGGATGTTTAGAATACATAAGAGAGTATCTAATAAAGAGGATATGCAATGTCATGAAGGAAATGAAAAAGGCTAAAGGTCTACTAACACCTACATCAACAGGCATCCTAACTGCAAGAAAAACAATTGCTTCACAATACATTGCCAGGTGGAATGGGGGAGACAAGTATCAAGTCATAAGAGCTTTGCAGGATCAACATGTGGTGGATGTTAGGAACCAAACATGCACTTGCAGAAAATGGGAATTAATTGGAATTCCATGCAGACATGAAATTGCAACTCTGAATGAGATGAGTAAAGACCTAGAGGCTGAGCTTGATATTTACAAATGGGTTCACAAGGTGTATTTTCTAGAGACATGGAAAAATGCTCATTCTTTTAAGGTGGAGCCAATTAAGGGGAGATCCATGTGGCCCAAAAGTGAATGTCCCACAAAGCTAATCCCTCCCCCACATCGCACTCAGGTGGGAAGGTCTAATAAAAAAAGAAGATAAAGTGAGGGTGAAATGTTAAGCAGAAAGAAGAGGGTAAGTCAAGGTAATGGAGTGAATACTACACAAGAAGGAGGTTCCCCAAAACCAACAAATGATGGAGTGCAGAAGCTATCAAGGAAGCATACCAATGTTACTTGTAACAAATGCAAGAACAAGGGACACAACTCCAGGACCTGTAAAGGGCAATGTGGGAATCAGTGCAAGAAGTAATGTGTCATGCATGGGGTTTTCTATGATTTTGGTTGCTTTTGAAAACTTGGTTGTTATGTTTACACTATTTTGTTGAAATCTTTTGGTTGGTTGTTATGAATACTTGGTTGTTATGTTATTAATCTTAATGAAATGTGCATTTTGGTTGTTATCTTATGAATCTTAATGAAATGTGCATTTTGGTTATGTTATGAATCTTAATGAAATGTGCATTTTGTTTATGTATAATTGGTTCTAATGAATCTTCATATCATTTCTATTGATGTGTTAATTCTGATACATTCATACAATTTTGGCAATACATTCATACCATTATAAGTCACTACAAAAATGATCACATAAAATTACAATAAAATGACCACTTTATCCATACTAATACCTTTCACAGACCAAAACACCCTTCACAGTAAACCCCTACACAAACCAGATACAAAAAAAGACAATAATAAAAAAAAAAAACCAACTTCCAAACAGGTACATTTTCAGCTTCAAATTGTCATCCTTCAATACTTTGCAATTTGCCACCAACATGTTGTTCCTGCATATCAGTCCATTGCATTGATCCTGTAGCATGTTCACACTTCTAAGCAACTCATTGCACCGTTCCTGCACTGAATTCAAATTTCTTAGAAGACTAGGCATGATGGTTTTACACTTAGCACACATTGGAGGATTAAGCCACTCGATAAACCCACAAACAGAATTATTCATAGGACATGTAAAAAATCTCCTTCCTGGATTCAGAGGGGTCCAAGACATTTTCACTAAAGAAACTTTTCCACAAAAACATAGAACGATTGTTGTTGTAACAGAGCTCAAGAAGAAGAAGGGTAGAAAAAAGATACGTTGGGGAAGAAGATCGCAGACAGTGGGGATATTTAAAAGGAATTAAGCCAAAAAACGGCAATGCAAAAATGGTCCCTTACATATGAAACGACGAATTTACCCTCACGTGTGAGGTACATGTAGGGGTTAACAATTTTTTTTAATGGGAGTTAAATCCAGGGATCAATTCCACATACAAACCACTCCAAAAAGATGATGAATCCAAAAAACTTAGGGTTTAAACTAAAACCCCAAAAATTTGCATACCATAGGGACCGTTTTTGCAATTTTGTCGTTTATAAGCTATTTTTTGCATTTTTTTAAAAAGAGGAGGATGCATATATATTTTTATATTTTTTTCTTCGAAAAATCAAACATGTTTTTTCACCGTCCATAGTAATAAGTGATGAAAATGATATTTTTCAAAAAAAAAAAAAAAAAAGAAAGAAAAAGGAAAAACACCAACTTGATTCTCACATAAACCCAACAATGTATTTTTCCTTTTAACATTTATGAATGACCTCAAAGTATATAATTTATTAAGTTACAAAAAAATATATTATTGTAAAAAAGAAGGGGTTGTAATATCATTTTTATGGAGTTATGGGCAAGTTTGTTACTGCTATGAAAGTTCCAACTTGCCTTTCATTTATGTCGATTCATTGTTCCTTTAATCTGTCGTGTCTTCGTTGTTGGCTTCTCGATCACCATCATCGCCCTCACCACCTTTAAGAGAAGGACATTCATGTTTTGGAAGTATATATGTTGCATCTAATTAACGTATTTCCATTCATAAGTTTTTGTAAGATCACTTGCAGTATAAGCGTAGATTTTTATCTCAACTTTTATAATTGACATGAATGAATGTGTGTACAGGGCGATCTGAAACTCTATGAAAAATAAAAGTGATCCCTATATATAATTTTTTTTTTATATAAGAAAAAGTGACTAATATTACAATAAAATTCACCATTTAATACACTGTTCGTTAATTATATTAGTATGTATATTTAAAAATCGAAAAACTATTTATTTACAAATAATCAAAGAATTAACAATGAAATCCTGACAGAAGTCACTTGATGGAATTGTGATAGATTGGTTACGAAGTAGCAACCGATTACAATGATATTTTTCTAATTAAAACAAAAAAATTTGGACCAATGTTGTGTAGTGGCACACCTCGTACCTTCTCATGAATGGCCGTGCTCTTCCATATATCTTGATTTTCTATTTTTTTTATTTTTATTAACTCCCATATAATATTTTTATTAAATTTTCACCATATTGTTATTAAAAATCTCAATAAGAAATTGTAGAATTTAACTTTTCATTTTTACGAAAAAACCTAATGAATTAATTTTTTATTTTATTGAATACATGCTAACAAAGAAACAAACAAAGAAGTTAGGATTGAAGTTTGTATTATAAATAAAAATTATATATGAAAAATGCTCAAGAAACGAAGCTAAAAAAGGCCAATTAAATTTATATTAAAAAATAGTTTGTAAAGAAAAAAGGCTTGCAAAAACATCTACCGTAAAGAAAAAAATGACATCTAACTAAATTTATAGGAAAAATGACTCTGAAGGGTAATTAACTGTTGAATTTGTTTTCATTTGATATTTTTTTTGTACTCAATATACCATCAAACTTGTTGTTTGTGTTCATCATAACCATTTTGACTGACCAGTGGTGGAGCCAGGATCAAAGTAAAGGGCTATCCTAATTTTTTTTAGGGTAACCTAATTTTTTTCCCACGGTACTTGGGTTTCACGGGTTTGGTTTCGGTTTTAAACCCAAATCTTAATCGAATCCTTAGCTAACCTCGAGTCTTGTTATATAAACATGAAGTTAAAGTATATTTTGATACTTGAATCGATGTGAGACTCAAAGTAGATATCAAATAAAGCATGAGCATAACAGGTTTATAATATAAAAAAATAGTTGAGTTTACATGTGTTTAGCGATGTGTGATAGAATAGCTGGAAAAATAAAACAAAAATAAACAAAAAATATGTAAGAAACGAGAATAGAACTCAAGACCTTTGATTAAATAAGCCAACACCTTAACCAACAGACCAACTGTTTGTTTGTGTTTATAAGTGGAGGGATGCGTATATATACACTATACCGATTTTTGTTTGAGGGATCCGTAAACAAAAATTACACTGCCG